GAACATACTGTTTAGCCAGACAGTTGTTCTCAGTGATCCAAAAGTAGGAATAATTGAAGGCTCTCTCCAAACTTCTGTCCTGATGCTCAGTGGCCCCTTATTGAGGGATATTTTAGGAGTATAATGGTGACTAAAGCCTCTGCATGCCTGATTGTTTTACCTAATTACAGTGCTCTGTGGAATAGCCCTAGAGGGATAGAATTCAAGGAGGCAGAGCTAAGATAAAGGGCACAGAGATAAGATCAGTGTGGGGAAATCTTTCAGGAGAGGGGCCTGTGTGAATGCAGGATAAAAGGAGACAACAGTGTGTGTACTTGGTGGTGAAAATGGCAGATGACGGGCAGAGTGGATGCTCTGTGCTGTAAAGCTTTGGAGCCTGCATGGCTATATGAGTAATCTCCACCAACATGCGTTCAGGCTGTTGGATTGCCTGTGACTTCGAGAGAGAAGGTGAAGACCTTGCTTAAGTATCTGGCTGATGGCTGGTGGAAAACATGTTTGAATGCATCTATTCCCCTTCCTGGAGGAAGATGTTCATTACTGGTGCTATACAGAATCCAAGGAATGCCAAGGCTCTAAATCCTAAACTCTGCAGTGGTTCAAATAAAGAGCAGGACCTGGTAAGCTTTCAGGCATGGTGGGCAGTGAGTCTACAGAGGCTTTCTAGGGATGAAAGAAGGATCTTTGTTTATATCTAACTAGGTGTTGGGGGTTGGGCGTCCTTCCTTTTGTTCCATCTCACCTATGGAATTTTTTGCCCATTAGTTGCAGGGAAACCTGATTGCTGGTACTTGTTAAGCGCTTGGAAAACACAGAGAGTTCGGCTGGGCCTGGGGAGGGCAGGGGCAGCTGGGTGCTGGCTGTCTTCTTGAGCTAGAGATCGAGACACTCTCAGAGCTGTTGTGGCTTGGAGAAGGGAATTCGCCATCATCCAGATGGAGCTGCTACTTCTCCTTCTTTCTTCTGCGTTGGTGGCCTCACACCCCCTGTCCTGCCGGGTCATGGCAGTGCCAGGCACCGCCATGGAGCTGCTGATCCACCTCAGCCACCGGCCCAGGATCTCAGCTCATCCCTGCTGTTCCAGCTGAGTGTTCCTCAGAGCCCTGCAGGAGCACCGGCACTGACTGCCCGAGGGGTTTGTGAAGCAAAGCCTCTCCTCCATCCCTTCCCGTCTCAGCCAGCCGAGAAAGCTGTCACGGGGTCCCCGGTTCTGTTTTGTTAACGCTGTAGTTATTGTTGTCTGTTTGCCTTGTTATACATACTAATAAAGAACTGTTATTCCTATCCCCATATCTCTTCCTGAGAGTCCCTTAGTTTCAAAATTATAATAATTCGGAGGGAGGAAGTCTACATTTTCATTCCAAGAAAGGCTTCTGCCCTCCCTACCAGACACCTGTTTTCCAAACTAAGACAGCAGTTCCCAGAGTTTTGAAACACTTTCATGTAGCATGAAATAAAGTAGTTCCACAAGTGCAGTGTTGGGTGAAGCCTGTGACATTTGTGCCTTGATGGTGGCTTCTCTCTTTGTTCTCTGAAGAACAAGTGAGCTCATAATGAACCTTTCCTTTGTGTGGGAATGCTATTATCCCTGAATATACATTTTCCAGAACCTACAGGAACAGAAATTTCTCTTGTGTGTACATTTGTATATCTCACATTTTCT